ACTGCCCCATAGGATTCCCAAGGTTATAAATCTTTACAGAAGCAGATTGCCTCATCTTTCTCCCAGGGAGTGGCTGATGGCTTGGAACCACTAACCTTTTAGTTAGCAGTCAAATACTTAACCATTGAGCCACCAGAGCCTCTCTAAGTAGAAATTTAGTAATCATTAACTAAAAGGCATTATGTAAAATTGTAGGGGCTATAGGAAAATCAAGGAGCTTGTGTGGAGTCAGAAATAGTCATTAATTAGTGGTTCAGTGGTAGAATTCTACTTTCCATGTGAAAGATCCAGGTTCAACTCCCAGCCAATGCACCTCAGGAGTAGCCACTGATCTGCTGGTGGAGGCTTGCTTCTTGCTATGATGCTGCACAGGTTTCAGCAGAGCTTCCAGAGTAGGACAAGCTAGGAAGAAAGGCCTGGAGAGCTACTCCCAAAAAATTAGCCAGTGAAACTCCTAGAGATCACTACCACTCAGCAACCAGTCAAGCAGAGTTTTGATAGGTTGTATATCAGTCAAGGACAGATTTGACAGAAGCTAACAACAACAACAAAAGATCTGAGGAAACAAACAGGCAAAACAGTAAATAGAAATACTTAAGGGTGTAGTTGTTTTATAGTTAATTAGTTAAAGAATTTTATAAACATTATGAATTCACATACCTTGTGCATTAAAACATGATATTCTGTACCACGGTGAACAATAAATAAATTATGCATTGACAGGAAAACCAAGCAAAGAAAGATAGACAAGGAAGAAAGAGAAGCTTATATGTGGTCTTGTGAGTAAAACTAAAACCAAAGCAAACCCACAGCCATTGAGTGTCTTATGACTCATAGTGACCCTTAGGACAAGATAGAACTGCTCCTAAGGTTTCAAAGAGGACTGCTGTAACTAACAATCTGTCTTGCAACAGGTAAGTTGGAAGGCTTCTTGGAAGTGAGAATGGCCAGATGTTCTGTCTCCTACTTTGGCCATGTTATCAGAAGATACCAGTCCCGGGAGAAGGATATTATGCTTGCTAAACTAGAGGGTCAGCAATAAAGGGGAAGTTCTTCAATGAGATGGCTTGACATAGTGGCTGCAATGATTGGCTCAAGTATAGCAGTGATTGTGAAAAGGGTACAAGACTGGGCAGTATTTCATTCTGAAGTACAAAGGGCCACTTGAGTCAGAAAGGACTCACTGGCAACTAACAACGATAAATCTTTGCAGAAACAGATGGCCTCACTTTTTTACCACAGAGTGGCTGGTAGGTTTGAACTGCCAGCCTTTTGGTAAGCAGCTGAGTTCTTTAATCACTACCTCACCAGAGATACTTCTCATGGGTAAGTTTTAAGATCTTTCATAGGCAAAAATACACTTAACAACAACAAAAACAAAACTGAAGCTGCAACAAAGACCCTATGTTATATTCAAGACTCTTTAGATTATGACCAAATTATACATTATGAAAAGATCCTTTTGACAAAGACCAAATTGTTAAGCCAAAACATAATGTTAATTGTGTGAATTTTTCTTTAGCTTGGAGGCCAAAGGACATTTTCACTACCAACATAATCATAATAGGAGCTCTGGTAGCATAGTGCCTAAGACACTTGACTGCTAACCAGAAGGCTGGTGGTTCAAACCCACCAGCTACTCCTTGGAAGGAAGGATGGGCAATCTACTTCCATAGTGATACTGCTTCGGAAACCTGAGGAGGAGTCACTATGAGTTGGGGCTGACTCGACATCACATAACAACAACAACACAACATATAATCTAAAATAAATCTAATCATACCCGTAGTATGATGTAAAATGTAATATAAAAACAGAATGGAAATAGAGTGATTAAGTTAGATTACATACAGATAAAATAATTTCTAAAATAATCTTTCTGGCTTATTGGACATGCAGGTTGAACAGAAGCAATTAGGGATGAAAAACTATACAATAACAACTTTTATACTACTGGGACTGACAGATGACCCTCAGATGCAGGTTTTGATTTTTATCTTTATATTTTTCACCTACATGTTGAGCGTAACTGGAAACATGATCATCATCATACTCACTTTTGTGGATACCCATCTTAAAACCCCCATGTACTTTTTTTTACAGAACTTCTCCTTCTTGGAGATTTCATTCACCTCAGCCTGCATTCCCAGATACTTGCATAACATAGCAACAGGTGACAATGTAATTACCTATAATGCATGTGTCATCCAAGTATTTTTAACTGACCTCTTTGCAGTAACAGAATTTTTCCTTCTGGCTGCTATGTCCTATGACCGTTATGTGGCCATCTGCAAACCCCTGTATTATGTGACCATTATGAGCAGTAGAGTCTGCAAGAGACTTGTGTTATGCTGTTGGTTAGCTGGATTGTTGATCATAATCTCTCCACTTAGTCTGGGATTAAATCTGAAATTCTGTGACTCAAACGTTGTTGATCACTTTCTCTGTGATGCCTCTCCTCTCCTGAAGATCTCATGTTCAGACCCAAGGTTCATGGAGCAAACTGTTTTAATCTGTGCTGCACTGACTCTCATCTTGACCCTTCTGGGTGTAGTTCTTTCCTACACTTATATCATCAAGACAATTTTAGGGTTTCCATCTGCCCAGCAAAGGAAAAAGGCCTTTTCCACCTGTTCTTCACACATGATTGTGGTTTCTATCACCTATGGAACATGCATGTTCATCTATATGAATCCTACAGCAAAGGAAGAAGTGACCATTAATAAAGTAGTTTCACTCCTCATTTCTTCTATTTCACCTATGTTAAACCCATTTATCTACACCCTGAGAAATAAGCAAGTGAAATATGCTTTCAAGGACTTAATCAAAACCATTGCAGCATTCTTAAAGAGGTAACACTAAACTAGAAGTCAATCAGTAATACTAAAAGAAAAGATGAATGGCTGGTAAAACTTTTTTTTTTTT